AGGAGAGAGATTGACACCATCCATTAGTGTTTCCTGCCGGGCCCTCTAAATCACTTATTAGTTTGAGCGCTCTGTCGCTGTTTTGAGAAAGTTATGAATTTGCGGTGAAACACATACAGACACGCATACATTCACACACACACGCACACACGCGCACACACACACATAACCACACACACAGACAAACTTAGCGGATTATATATAGTAAGATTATGATAACTGCTGTTTTACGCCGCAGTTCGCGTTCTATAAGTTGTCACAAGAATGCTGAGTTGTGAGCCCCTGGGGCACGACTTTTGCTCACAACAGCGTTCTTGTGTCAACTGTTACTTTCTTAGAAGCAGAAAATTTTTCACTTGACAGCGACCTTTAGGCACTTGGTTCGTAGTATGCGAATGTTCTTAACTTTCTCTGAATCCTGTTCATCATTCTGGTTCTACGTAAGGTCATGAAGCTGTTTGTGGATATGTTTCAGGGCACTATTTACCCTTTACTGCCCCAGCCATCCGAAATCAGGCCAGTTCCTGACCGACTTTTTTCTTCATGGACAGAATTTGCTGAAAACTTGGCTCCAGGAGTATTTTGACCCGCTGAAGACGAATATGGCATCCGCTTGACCCAAAACCTCCTCGCCCGCGCCACGGGCGCCGGCGTCAAAATACTTGAAATCACCAAATTCGCTGAAAACTTGCTCCCAGGGGTAGTTTGACCCCCTGAACACGAATGTCACATCCGCTCAACCAGAAACCTCGTGGCGCCCGCACCACGGGCGCCGGCGCCAAAATACCTCAAATCATCGCCTGTGGCGCGGGCGTCAGAAAGTTTCGGGCTGAGCGAATGTGATATTCGTATTCTGGAGGTCAAACTACCCCAGTAGACAAAATTTGAGCAAAATCTGTCCACGGAGAAAAAAGTCGTTCAGGAACTAACCTGATTCGGATGACTGGGGCAGTAAAGGGTAAACAGGGCCTGTTTCAGTTTCTTGCAATCGTATGGCATGATCATCCTTTTCGAGTTTCATTGCGTTATTGATTGATTTGAAGGTCTTCAAGTGGTACGCAATTTCGATGAAGTGGCATTCATTCAAAATCTCGTGTACTATATTGAAACGGGATACCGCACTCCGGTGAGTGTACCCAATGCCTTTTTGATTTTTGATAAGCGACCGAGTCAATGCAATAACTAGAGGTACCTTGCTCATATGGCTGATAATCAACTATGCAGAGTAATTCTAGTCCACTATTTTAACACGTTGGCGACATTGCGTCCCACTGCTGGGACGCATCTTTTTTGCCGTGTGGGACATTGCGTCCCACTGCTGGGATGCCGCATGGGTAGAAAACCAATTTGAAGAGGTTCCGAATTTCCAACAGCTGCATATTGTCGAGGAAGGTATTGTAGAATATACAGTAGCTGTAAACCGTGCAGTTGTGTCATTGAGAGTATTTTACCGAAAAAACAAACGAAAGTATTTCCCGGAAAAAAGATAGTTCTTGGATATATAGAACTGAAGCTCCACATGCAGATAGCTAATGTGATAAGGTAACTTTCAACAGTAGCAGATCTGGATCGAATCCAATTTACTATCTCTGGCGCGAAAATATTCCTTTTTTGCGACCTTGTTCCCACGCTCCACGTGAATGAGGCGGGAGTATCCCACGAAATTTCAGGGTTTATCTTGAAAGTAAACAAGAATAGGGAAGCCCTTCTAGCTTCTACAATGAATTCTGACCATTCTTCAATTTTTTTGGCGTATAAACGCCCTGGCATTCATGCGCATTCTTCGAAAATGGGAAAAAACTGCTTTGTCCCAAGCTGCAGCTGCACACGTGAAAGGGCGTCTTGTCGCCAAGGGCACGCCATCTTTGTGATCATCACAACGGGGGGGGGTCGTATTTGCCCGCGATGGAGGGGGGGGGGTCGTAAACGCATGGCCCATGTTGAAGTGGAGAGAGCGGCGATACGCGGCACAAGTGAAAAGAAGCTCAAAAGGGATGATGTAGATGACAATAAATGGAACTAGGCACTATCGAACTATTCCTAGACCAAGAACTAAAAAAAATATTGCTGAAACTTTTCCTCCTTCTTCACAAAACAATCTTCAAGACACTTCGCCCACCAGCCCTCCTCATCTGGTCTAGACAAATCCCAATCCACTAATCCGCAAAATCTAGAAAAAAGTCCATTGCAAAAGCTACCTATGAAGCCGTAGAAATTGAATCCTGAGCAATTTCCTCACAACAAAATCAAACTCAACAAAAACAAACAGTCAAAATAATTCACAATCAAATGGATAAGAAAAAAAACTCATCAGGCCACCTGGGAACCAGAACTATGGACTACTTTTGAATTTTGGCTGTTCGCAGTCAGCGCGCTCATACAAGCTCGTTGGTGCGCGCTATTTTACGGCCTGGAGCCAATTTCAAGCCAAACACGTGAAAAGTACCCCTCATTTGAACACCCATAACTTCGTTGAAAGTGAAACTATCGGAGAGGGGTAAGTGGGATGGGAATGAGTAGAGCTAGGTTGACTATTGCCACCTTAATTGAGCGATTTCAAGAACGTTCCGATTCCAGAGATTTTCCCCGTTTTGATCATCGTTGTGATCCGTCTGTGATCATTTTTGCAAACCGCGAGTCGCTACGCTTTGGACGTGCATGGCAAGCTTCACACACGGCTTTTCGTAAAAAAAGACTTGTGCCGGAAGCTTGAAGATTTCTACTTTCCAGCAAGGTTTTAATTTTCTTCCTAGGCCTGCTAATCGAAAAAATTCCCCGCTGTGATCATTTCGTGACCACCCCCCCACGACACGAAAAATCAGCCCCTCCGAGGCCATGAAACCCCCAGTTGGCTTGAGGACTTTGGTATGCTTTTAAAACACATGTTTTCGCAAAGGGTATCAGAAAATCCCCGAATCTCCTCCTCCCCCCCCCGCTCGACAGCAAAATTTTGTAAAAAAAACCAGAATTTTTAGGAAAAAATAGACAAAGTGGTAGGAGGTTGGAAGAATCTAGGGAAGAGGTAATATGGGGAGGGGAGTCGTACTTGAAGATGGAATTAGGTGGAGGTCGTATTTTACAGGAAATGATCACAACGCGATGGCGTGCCCTGCTTGTCGCCAATATGTTAATCGACTCGACTCAGTCGTTGGAAGAAATGAACGCTCCAAAAGGACTCCAAGTACTCAAGGGATACTGGGATTCATGTACACGCAAGACAGGCCAGTGAATTTGTCAAAGCTCTTGTCTGGTCGTGGATAGCTGAACTCGGTTCCCGAAACACGATCTTCAAATCATGCGCGCGCTAGGGCGCCCTTTGCCACTGCGATGCTCCCGTCTAATCATTATGCCGCACATAACCACAAAGAGAATGAAGCTTTCATATAGCACGGGCTACTTTCAGAGGCAGCGCCTGCAATATTAGCCGCGCACTCAGACAATGCCACGATCCCAATAAAAACCCAAGAAAAGGAGCTGCGCGCCTGCTATTGTAGGCGATGTCATCTGATGCGCGGATAATATTGTAGGCGCTGCCATCTGAACGTAGCCCGTGCTCTATGAAAGCTTTATTCTCTTTGTGGCTATGTGCGGCATTATGATGAGGCGGAAGCATCGCAGTGGCAAAGGGCGCCCTAGCGCGCGCATGAATTGAAGATCGTGTTTCGGAACCGAGTTCAGACTCCAAGACCGGACAAGAGCTTGGACAAATTCATTGGCCTGTCTTGTGTGTACATGAACAGTCAAATATTATTACGCACATCTCATCAAACGTTTTCAATCACTGTCATTGCCAAATACAAGTCATATGGGTAATCTTTTCCGAGAGATATTGGGCAGTGCAGAGTGCTTTCTGAAGAGCTGTTGGCGAATGCAGAGGTTTTTTTCTCTAGGACTTTGGGATTTGGGAGCGTGGTGACAAGACCAACCAAGGAATAAGGGAGCTCAATGCAAGTTCTATTGGAATGGTGAAAGCTGCTCTGCAGGTACGTTCTGTTCTCATCATATGTTCATGTATGGTAAGTCATGCTATCTGTGAGTTCCACTCGGTGCAGTGCTGAGTGTTAAGTTTGAACCTCGACTTGCTTCAAGACAGGCTGTACACTTATTTCGTGGATCCTGGTCCTTGCTATATATGGAAAGAATGATTTCGAAGCAGCAGCAGCTTCACTTTTTCACCGGTTAAAAGTGCACGGGATAGGGGTTGGTGGGTAGCGATGGCCGGATGCCGTCTCCATACTCGGTCGGCGCTGCTGACCAGGCGCCTAGCTGTAGCCGGATGCGCTGCTACGCTTCCTCTTTTCTTTCCTCTACTACGGAATGCGTATTTCACCGCTTGACCTTGGTATCGAGGTAAGTAACATCAAGGATAGGGTAGGCGGAGAATGAAAATGGCTCTCGGGTGTCACCACTAACACAAAAGTGGGGCCATTCGCCTCGTGCATGGCAAGAAATGTTCTCGGAATTGAGTGTACAGTTTGTCGTCAACGATTTCATTGGCAAGCTTTCGGCATGTAGCTTTCGGCATGCCCTCGTCAGACCGAATTTTTTCGCCTTTATTGCAATACTGACGCCGATGACAAGTGGCGCGCTTATCACTCGCGCGATCCCGGGTTCCAACCCCGGGTTGACTCCTGCCCAGGCCAACCAAGCTTCTTCCCTCCAAGGACGGTAAATTGGTACCAGATTCGTCTGGGAGGATAACACTGACATGTTCATCGACTGGTCCCGCAAGTCATTATGTAGGCCACATCACATCGTTAAGCATTACGATTCTGACTGGAAGTAAGTTGCGTGCCGTCCCAGCTAAGCTTCCGGATCTCGAGCAGTGTCGTTTTCCAAATGTGTGACCCTGGCTGTAGTGGAGTAGGCAAACATTGCTCGGTTTTTGGGCCAAATGGTAGAGGTTTTCAACCCTCCCCCCCCCCCTTTTTTGCAGTTGATTACAATAGGGCTCCCTTGTCACCACAGTGTTGGAAGGAAGAAATTCCGTTTTGGGAAGGGAGAGAGAAACCCCACCACATACGCAGTCTCACCACCCTACTAGATTGATAGGATTGCGCGATCGGTTCTGCCCTTTCTGGGGGATTTAACCACTGGCGCTCCCGGGAGTGATTCACCTAGAGGCACCCACTCCATATCCAGTTACAGTGCTGTTCAACCAGTCCGTACAGCGGAAGTGGGAGACACGTTGTAGGCAGTACTCACAGGTGCTCCCTTGGAGTACTGGTCAACTCATGAGAAAAATTTAGGCCGAACTTCAGAACTTTTCTAGGGAAGCGAGTCCCTCTCTCATTTGTGCTTTGGGACCAGTCAAGTGTATGGACTAGATAGCAAGTAGATTTGTACGTATTGGTTTTAATTAAGGAACACAGTAATTTAAAACCCAAGGCAGGTGGCCTCCTTGGACGAAGATTTTCACCCAGATAGAATTCACTAAAGCGGGAGCAATTGGGCCATTCCAAAGCCGTACTGTGGAAGATAACATCAAGATCTAAATAAGGGAAATGCCGCTTATGGCTTCAACCACGTTCTGGCTTGGCAGAGGTTCATATAGCGAAGTGTGTCGAAAATGATGAATTTCATTTACCATTTTTCATATGAGAACAGCGACTGCGAGGGACGGTGAAGAAGCTATGGGATGCTCACCTAGCACACTTCCCAAAGACCTCATAACTAGATTTCGAAATGGCTGCGGAAAGATCTGATACGAGATTCAAAAAATGTTCACAAAATTTTGGGACGACCTAATAATACTGACCAGGGGAAGATAAGAGGACAGAGTGATCATTTGTCCTGTTATGCTGAAGTATTACTAAATATTGGTTTGGCCCATAGGTAATGGCGTTTTTTTTAACATTCGAGTTATCGCGTTAAAAAAGAAAGTTTTGCCACTGAATTTTGTATTTGTGTACGAAGAAGTGAAGAATTCCTTGCCCTATACGACAGTCCTCTCTGTTTATTTGAAGTTTCCTTTTTCATTCATATTTATGTACTCAAACTGGAGTGTCAGGTCGACGAAATTGAGCATTTTTGACAGCCTCTTTTTTTTAACTTCGCGGGCTAGCTAAAGCCGCACAGGTCCATTTGCAAAGTATACCATTTTCACTATGAATTCACCACTTTTCAAACCAAATTCGCACCTTTCAGACCTAATCCACCATTTTCAAACCAAATTTACCACTCTTCTTAGACCAGGCAGTTCACCAACCTAATCACGCCAGACACCACTGCGAACACTGCCCCGACGGTCACGCCTATTTGTCAGCGCGGACATAGATTTTCAACACATGACTGATTCGAATCTTCATAACTTTTTCAATTTTTGGTTTCACATCCACTCCTCGCACAACGGAGGTACTCGTAGACGCGCATTCGTGCACCGACAACTTAGACCACTGTTTGTGGAATTATGATATTTTTTCGAAATTTTTTGCATTTTTGGACTACCCCGTGAAGCACCGCCCACTATGAGAGGTTCCACCCCTTCAGAAAAGCCCCGCCCACTTTTCAAAAATGGTGCAAGTCGGCAGTATGGAGTCTTGGCTTGCATGATAGCATCTCGTCCGTCACTCGGAACACATAAATCAGGCAAAGTTTGTTCCTAATGACCAGCAATACTCTTGCCATGCAAGCCATGGCTCTATACTGCCGATTTGCACCATTTTTGAAAAGTGGGCGGGACTTCATGGAGCGGTCCAAAAGGCAAAAATTTTGAAAACATATCATGATTCCGCAAACAGCAAGTGGGCGTGGCCAAAGGGGGGGAGCCTAAATTGCTTGTGCATGAATGCGCGTCTACGAGTACCTTCATTGTGCGGAGAGTGGATGTGAAATTGAACATTGAAAAAGTCATGAAGATTTTCAGTTTACAACAAACTTTAGAGAATGGGCGGAGTCAGTCAGTTTCGAAAATCTATGTCCGCGCTGACAAGTAGGCGTGACCGTCGGGGCAGGGTTCGCGGTGGCGTTTGGCGTGATATGGTTGGTGAACTGCTCGGTCTAAGAAGAGTGGTGAATTTGGGGTGAAAAGTGGTGAATTTGCTTTGAAAAGTGGTGAATTTGGTTTGAAGTGGTGAATTTGCTCTGAAAAGTGGTTAATTTGGTTCGAAAAGTGGTGAATTTAAAGTGGAAATGTATGGCCAAGAGGCTGTGTCTCTTAGGAATGTTTATGATGTTTGAGTGATTAGAAGATCTCAGTCTTAATCTCCCAGACAAGCTTCGAACGCAATGCCCTATTCAGTCCAACTGAGAGCTTGCTGAATTGCCTAATCAACGGAGATTCATGCCAAAAATTGAGGAATCGCTAGAGGTCATGGGTTGCTTCCCTATCATTACCAAGCATCCTCTTCAAACAATTTTAGGCGTTCAATAGTTAAGGTGTAGGTTCTGCAGGCAGTCGCTCCTCAAGAGGAACCCCATGCGTGGGAGATTCACAGGATCCGAATTCCCACCTCTTGATCGCTCGAACCAACTTCAGGCTGTCATAAAACGCAACTTCTTCGATCACCTATAACACAAGTTTCGAGCTTCATCTGTTGACTGAGAGCCGAGATAAAGTGCAAAAGGTTGCTGGCGAAAACTCACATCTGTGTCGACCCAACACTCCATTTCAGTGGTAGAACAAACACATTGGGAACAGTTGTCATTTTCCATATAAAAATTTGTGTGGGAAATTAACGCCATTACTTATGGGTCAACCCAATCTACTGCTTCTTCTGTTTGTTTGTTTATCTGTTGTTCGGAAATTCGCTTCAAACTGAAGAACAGAGGTCGACCTGAAGAACTGGGAGAGACCGGGTCAAAGTGTGGATGGGTAGGACATGGGAACATGTAAAGAGGCACACATTACAACAAGTATAATATAATATATATATATATATATATATATATAATATATAGTATATATATATACCAGTCGGATCGCTCGGCTCCACGCAGAGCTCCTTCAGCGCACATAACTGAGAAACGAACTTTTTCCATAGTGGGCTGCTCATACAGCGCTGCAGTGATCGAATCAAGCAACGCTGCCGGATCCTGCTTTCCTAGCACACGCTTAAATTTGCGCTTATACGGAGCAATATGAATCTCTCGGTAGAAGAACAAATTCCATCTTCATCACTGCACAAAAATGCCGATCGATTAACCTATCCCTTTCCAATTACCATGCAACCTGCTTGCTGAATTACAAATAATTGTAGGTTATTTTGCTCCCTTATTATTCGTTCTCATCAGTAATTGAAAGGTTGAAGGTAAAAAAGCTACTGAACGCATAAAGTGCCTCATTGTTTAGGTTTTCGGTTCTCCTCGAATTTCCCTGACCTTCCTGTTTCACGCGAACTACACACCACCCCCCCCCCCGCTCGTCGACATCGACATTATATAGTGCTAGTTAGTGCTATCAGAGAAGTGATGGCTTAAGAAGAAGTTTGCACACTGATCCTTCAATACTTGGCAGTATAGTGTTAGGAGATGTAATGATAATGGCCCCCTTATCCTTTCTTATCAATTGATAAGATTGTCTGTCACCCGTCATTAGTTTCCTATCACTAAAGCTCTATAACTTGGTAGTGCAAAGGCCCCAAAACTTTGACTGAACGACAACGGCAACGCTCCTTATCAGCCCATATCAGCTGTTATTACCTCCTGTTACATGTCGTCGATGTTCTCATTCTCCACTCTATATCATTTTCTGAAATCAACGCCCAGCTGATGCTGTGTTCCGCGTTATAAGTATAGTGACCTCCCCATTCTAACTCCCCTTATCAAATCTTATCAGCTGCTAGCACTTTTTGTCACCCACCAATAATAATCGTATGCCATAGCCTACACCATATCTTGGAACTAAAGTCCTACTCATGCTTGACCCGCGCTATGGACTCGGTGCCCCTCCCCTTCTGACGCCTCTTTTCAGATCTTATCAACTGATATCACTCCCTGCCACCGACCAATCACGTTTCTGTCCCATACCCTGTATCGTACCTCGGAACTAACGTCCTGCTATTGCTGTCACCCGCGTTATGAATATTGTGACCTCCCCCTCTAGCGCGTCTTATCGGATCTTATCAACTGATATCACTTCCTGTCACCCACCAATAGTGCTCCCGTCACACCGCCTACATCACTTCTTGAAATCAATGTCTCATTGCTACTGGGACCAGCGCTATGAATTTCGTGACACACAGACAGATGCACACACAAACATACACACAGACAGACATAGTTAGTGAAGTATATAGAGTAGGATAGATAGGGGGGGGGGCAAAAAAAGTCACTTTGACGAGTCACATATTAGCAAAGTTTTTGCAGCCCAGAGAGAAGTTGTGGATACGAGTACCGGGGCGAAAGATACCCATGATGCTCCTCGATAACAGGAGCTGGCCCTCGCCCATCACCTTCATGTACACCAAAATATGAGTCATCTCCAGTCGCAGCCTGACTGGAGAAGACCTTCGGAATTCATGTCACCTCCAAACAGCTGCAAAACTTGTAGTGTGGAATCACCCATGGATAGCTACTTGGAGACCAGTACTCTCGATCTGGATGATCTCCAACATCGAGCAGCTTCGACAACGTCGCCACGGTCGAGGACATCATCTTCACCACAGTCACCAAGGCGCTGGTTGATGGTATGGACCAGACGTACCTGGAATGGAAAAACCAATATTTTCTTCGTGGGCCCCTTACTGAAGATGAGCGCTGGCCGTTACATCGAGCAACTCGTGAAGAACATCCTCCTCACATGTCGTCGCCCGTACCTTCTTGGAAACTTTGTACTGCTGCAGCATAGGGTGCCACCACATGGAATCGAAGGGTATTGGAGAAACTCTCGCCTAGTAATGGAAGGGGGCTGAATACCTAAAGAAGGTGTAATATCCAAGTAGGTCACCTGACCAGAATCCTCTCAGTTACCCAGTTCAGGCAGAGTTCAATAGTCTACGGTGGCGAGGAATCGACTATCTCACTGATCTCAGGCACCACATCGCGGTACCAGAATCTCTCGATGGCGCTTGTCCAGAAGGCTGTGGCGGAGTGTCATGGTAGTATTTAATATGCTCTTTAATATGGTGATAAAAATGTCCGATCACAATTTAATGAAGTGCGGCTTATAGCGCCTCGAAAGTCAGTGAAGAAGAGTGACTTTTTTTTGCCACCCCCCCCCCCTCTGCATATATGTAAATATGTATGAAACCATTCAGGCTATGAATGATGTCGGTGACTTGTTTGGCGATGGTTCTCGGAGGTCGGCTATACATGTTCTACCAGATGAGATTGAGCAGTGTTCCGCTGTGTTGAGCAGCATGCTCCCGAGAGAGTCATTCAGTAAGGTGATTTTCCCCTGCTACCATTTTAGGCGGAGCAGTTGTCCTTATCATGATGTTCACGGCATTACAAAGCAAAATTTGCACTATCGAAAATTCAGGATATTTCCTCCTCGAAATCTTTAAGTACTGGGAAGGTGTTTTCGTTTTTGAGCACTTGAATTGAAGAAAAAGTAATAGAGAACAGAAGAGATGAGTAGTGTGAATCGCAATGGAAAAACAGCTGGAGCCCCGTAGTTGTGCTCACTTAGATATGTAGGGCAGCTTAAGCATCTGCACCTATGAGTAGATCAGCTGATTAGGGCGACGACGGCACGACAAACCCCTTACGTAATAATGGAAAACAAAGACCATCAAAGTCCGCTCGTGGTCCCGTCTTGGAAAGATTGAATAGAGCTGAGGACTCCAGGGAACAGAGGAACATCAGTGGAGATAAAATAGATTTTGTTGTTCGTATCATTCTTGCGAAGGACCCATGTGTGCTACTCCAGTATATCGAAATAAACATGTGACGGTGGTTACTCAGTTACTTGCTCCAGCAGACAATACCAAGGTGAGCCATACGTCTGTTGACTGACACCGTCGGGACTTTACTGGTTTATTTAAATTGTCTTAAGAATCCTTGAGGCGTTTGAGCGGAATGGCCTCATGCGTTTTTTGTCCATTTCTGCTCTGACGAGATCGAAGACGAAACGTAGCTCAATAATGCCATTCAGTCATGATAAGGTTTGATGGCATACTACAGTGATAGTCATGCTAACCAGGGGAGTCAACAGGTCGCCATGACCATTCAGGAATGGATGCATATCGATGTGCACGTCTCGGGACGCTGAACTTGAAATCTGCTCCCAAAATTTGCCGAACGACTCTCTAGGAAGAGTTAGGGGAGCGGTAGGAGGAGTTAGGGGAGGGGGTGGGTTCCAGCATAACAGTGGTCGATCCTCGTTTGTGTTAGTTCAAGTTAAGTTCGAGAACAACAGTCGCAAGTGGTCGGTGGCGTGGTGGATAGGTAAGTTGCTTCACAAGTTTGAGGTCATGGATTTGATTCCTTGACAGGGTCGCTGTTTTGCATTTTTTCGGAAAATCTTCGGTGAGTCGACAAATATTTCTATTTTATTTTGTCAAGTTTGCCCTCATTTGCAGCAGGAAAGAGCCAAATGCCGATAACTGCGCTTCTCTGTCAAAACCACTAAAACCGTTTTTTTACAGATGACTCTTGAAGAGTCGAATAGCGATTGTTCAAGAGCACATAATTTCAGATCTTTTTCGCATCAATGCAGAATTAGTTTAGTCACTTCAAATGTTTGACAGGAACATAGTGGGGTTTCTTTGACTCCCCCTTTCCCCCCCCCCTAGGGACATTTTTAAGATTTCAACTTGGTGGTTCGTGCGTGTAAAACTGATATTATGGGTAAGCAGCACATGCTGGACTAGGGAAGGTTATGCGTTCTCTTCGGGGTAGTTTCAGTCAATCTTTTTGATTGTAGCTTCGTGGTCCTCTAATGACCATGAGTTTACTCAAATGGCTTTGTCACCTGAAAGCATTGAAACTTCTCAGTATAGCGCCAGGTGCTACACCCTTGATTCAACTTTCGAGCCTTTACTTTCTCTTCCGTTTAAGGGTTTCACTTCTTTTGTAGTAGTTCAGGATATCAATTTCTCTATGTCGGGACTCTATTCTCGTCTCTCTCTCCCTCTCTAGTTATTTTCACTTTTGCTCATCTCGATCAAGGAATTTCCTGTCTTATTCCTGGTTGGTAACTTTTCTTATCTTATACGCTGTGGCTACACCGGTTGTGAAGAGTTTTTTTCATTCGTTGTGCTCTCAACGAGAAGCTATTTGCTTTGACCATTTCTTGAAGGAACACCACGTGTTCTCTGGAATAGTTGAAATTCGACCCATTCACCATCTGTATACCAGTTATTTTTCTAGTAAATTTCTTGAAAGAGAAGCACAGCTGTCAGTATTTGGGCTGGAAATGAGGGCAGGCTTGACATAACAAAATATTGATAATTCGCCGACTCACAGAAACTATTCCAAAATGCAAAAATGCGACCCTGTCAAAGAATTGAGCCCATGCCCCCTCACCTATGAAGCAACTTACCTATCCACTACACCACCGACCACTTGCGAACATATGTTCTCGAACGTGATTTGAACTACCACAAATGAGGATCGGCCACTGGTATGCTAGAATCTCCCCCCCCCCATGACTCCTCCTAGAGAGTCGTTCGGCAAATTTTGAAAGCAGATCTGAGTTCAGCGTCCCGAGACGTACACATCGATATGCATCACATCTTGAATGGCCAAGGGGACCTGTTGACCTTCCCTGGTAAGATGAAAGAGATTCAAGCATATATACTATTGGAATTCATTAACCTAACAGTGCTACATCTGCAAGCTTGGTTTATCTTGCATAACATTTACGTTTTGAACAAGTTTTCTTGTCAGCGCAACGAAGAGTTCTGGCATATATTGCTAATCTCTCAGGCAGCTTTGCTGTTATAAATAGTGAGGTTGCTACAGGATGCTACACTATGAGCGCTACCTGGTTGAAAAGCCACCGAAATATCAGTTGATCTTCAGGAATTTTCTAAGGGGACTATGACTGCCCGTCCTCACTCGCCTGTGAGACTGCCGCGATCGCATCATAAAACAGAGCTGCCCAATCAGGCTCTTAAAACGTTGATGACGAGCCGTTTTCTTTATGACTTGCGCATGGGGCGGCACATCTTTCTTCGTTGAAATTCAAAATTTCGAAATAAATCTGTGACAGATCAAAGAGCACTAAGAAATGCCTGAGGCGAGAATATGAAGCGTCAGGTAGTTTCGCGCTACGTGCGGCGGGTCAATGCATGCACTTCATGCCGCCGCCTCTAACACGAATGCTAGGCAGTTCCGCGTTGAGCAGGTGTGATAGTGATATTCTGGGCTACTACCTCGGGAGACAAGTTTTCAGCGAATTTGGTGATTTATAATATTCGGCGCCTGTGGCGCTGGCGCCAAGCAGTTTCTTGACAAGTGAATGCCATATTCATGTTGAGGGCGACGAGCTACCCCTGAAAACAAGTTCTTGGCGAATTTGGTGACCAATAGTATTTCGGCGTTGGCGCCTTTGGCGCGGGCGCCTGGCAATTCCGGTAAGGCAGCGTTTATACTTCGCGATAGCAGCGGCTATCGCGGCGATCGCGGCGACCTCGGCGCTCTTCGGTACATGGCAGAGCGCGCCCCAACGCTATTGTGCTCCGAAGGCTTTTGGGAAGAAGCGACTCAATTTAATGCTTTTTGAAGCTTGGTTTGACCCAAAGAAAGGTGACCCGAACTTAATGGCTTTTGTTTCTTATTTTCTTTGTTGATTGAGAATAGAAATGAGCAAAAAGCGTGAGAGATTTGTTAAGGATAGGTTTCTGTTGTTTCTTTTTTCATTCGTTGAGCTTATACATGAGGTTATAGAGTTTTCACCCGTTGATGTTGCGTAAAATGATTAGTGTTTTGGTTCCTAGGTCAGCTTCTTTCTGTTTCCTTTTTTTTCTTCGTTGTTTGAACTCGACTTGTAAGCTATAAGTATTTTGGAAGTTGGAACAGTTCAGACGGCAGGAACTTTCAAGGCGCTTGTATGAATTGAAATAATAAAAACAAAAGAAACAAAGAAGCTCACCCAGGGAATGGAGTTGGACTTATCCCGACCTAAAAAGAAGTGAAACCTTCTTACCCCATATTCCAGATCCTATGTATAGAAAGTCGTAAGTTATCAGTTCAGTTAGTAGCCATTAATAAGACAAAAGAAGGTCTCACAAGTTGGATTTCCTATTCAGTCCATAATAGCGTTTGGTGCTGCGCTATGCTAGCGTGCTCTGCTACGCACCGACGATTGCGGCGATTGCCGAGGTCGCCGAGGTCGCCGCGATCGCCGCTGCTGTCGCGAAGTATGGACGCTGCCTAAGCGACTATGATGTTCGTTGCAGAGCGTCGGGCTAGCCCTAGAGACACGATTTCAACAAACGTGAGTGTTTGCACATCTTTGATATTAGAGCACCATACTGTCAGACAGCATTGTCTGACATCGTCCCATAAGACAGAGTGGCTGTCGCCCACCATTGTCTAACACCGTGGTCAAAGGCAGCGTCCACATTCATTTGATGTTCCCGCGCCCTCCCTGGATATCTAGCTCTCCCTATGAGGGTGCTGTATGAACTAGTTTTGCATCTCCAAAAAAGCGAGAGAATAGTGCCGTTCGCTAGTGAGGAGCATGCCGCCCCGCCTACCTATCCAGCATAGGGTTTTATATAGGACATTTTCCATGATTTTTTTTCTGCTTTTTTCTTCACTTCTGGATCAGTATTATGTGAGATCCATAACTCATTATTCTTGAAAGCAGGCTCAGCCTTTAAAGGCTAAGCCAAAGCAGTTATGGCAGTCAGGTGAGCGGGCGGCATCCTCTTCACAAGCGAGTGGCGCCATCTTCTCGTATTTTTGAGCTGCAAACTAATACACCACTCTTGCTACGATATCTAGTCAGGGCGTAGGAACATCAAATGAACGCGAGCGCTGCCTTTAAGGATAGATTACTTTGCCACATAAGGTCAAGATGTCACATCCTTACAAAGCTTCGTACTCGGTCGTCAGCGGATACCCAGTGGGCATTGAGAAACCCCTCCAGTACACCCTTGGAGTCTTTTGGTACATCTCTGATAGGCACATCTCGCAGTTTGAGTTTGTGCGCCTGGGGGCCAGGCCATTCAACTGGAAAGAGTGGGTCGGGTTCCTCAACAGGGTAGTCCTACTGACAAGCGTTCCATAAACAGCAAGCTCCCTGATCTTTACCAACTGCTATCTCAAAATCCTTGAGGCGTTGTTTTAACAGAGACATGGTGCAACCCTGATAAGATCAAAAGTAGCACGATGTCGGCTGACTGTTCCTATCTTGTGTATCGGTGATAGAGATGGGGATATCCTAGGCGGCGGTGTAGTAGCTATTTTTCGGAATGACATCTCTTCTTGTCTC